TACATTACAGTACAGTACAGTACATTACAGTACAGTGCAGTACATTACAGTACAGTACAATACATTACAGTACAGTACATTACAGTACAATACATTACAGTACAGTGCAGTACAATACGTTACAGTACAGTACAATACATTACAGTACAGTGCAGTACAATACATTACAGTGCAGTGCAGTACATTACAGTACAGTACAATACATTACAGTACAGTGCAGTACATTACAGTGCAGTACAATACATTATGTTTATGAGAGGGAATAAAGCATTTTATTTTTATTTTTCCTAAAACAGGAAAATATCAGGAGACAGTGATTATTGTTCCTCCTCAATATCAATAAATAAACTATCAGAATTCATCTTCTTGTTTAGACAGTGGGCTCTTTTATTGGCAGAAACCTTGCAGCCTCTGTGTTCACCAGAAAGCACTTCTAGTTTGGCTTTCTTTTGACGTTGTTTCATTTTTATTGCATGAAAAGTTTGAAGAGCTCCATCTCTCATTAACCTTCTGTATTCATCACTTCTTCTGTTGTTATGCAGGTCCTCCAGCTGCTGTCCAGTCTTTCAGCACCCTGAGGTACAACCTGTGTAAGTGGTGTGAGGTGTCCAGTCCGGTGTGTAAAGACAACATTTGTCTCAGTAAATGCAACCTGTCCTCCTTCTGCACCATCACTGAGGAGATCTGCATCGCCATATGGTGAGACACTGCATTCACTTAGAGCCCATTCACACTGGATGACACGACCCTGACATGAAATTAGCCAGAGCATGATGGTCTTTTCAAGATCTTCAGGTGTGTTTAAGAGCACAATGGGTGCCCCCATTCTGTGCTAGATCATGATAACATACCATAATTGTTGCTGCCAGAGTCTTAACCGGTTAGTGGGAGAGATCGTATTTCTCCAGTTTTAGTTTCTCTCCATTGGCTCCCCGTCAAATCCAGAATTGAATTCAAAATCTTACTTCTAACCTACAAAGCCCTCAACAACCTAGCTCCATCTTATATTATAGATCTTATTGTTCCATATTTTCACAACAGAGCACTTGACTCTCTGACTGCAGGTTTACTTCTGGTTCCTAGAGTTTCCAAAAGCAGAATGGGAGGAAGATCCTTCAATTCTCAGGCTCCTCTCTTGTGGAGTCTCTTGAGAGGAGTAAAGGAGGACATCTTTGTGAAAAGAAATCGTCCATCATTAAACAGGGGTGGAGCCTCCGGGTTCAACTGTCCCCCTCTTACAATGCTGTGATTGCTAGTATCACTCAGCCCTCTGTGAACAGTAAACAGCCATCAGTGTGCTAATGATCCATTGTTAGGCTGATGGTCCTTCTTGAGCATGTGATCAGCTGGTTTTGGTTGTCAGCAGCAAAACTGGTTGATCCACTCTGAGAAGGTGCTATTTAAGAGACTGAGCTGAATACAGCTCCTCAGACTGAGGAAGTCTCTCGGATGAGAGACGAAACGTTTCTATATTTTTTGTTGTTGTTTTGCTTTGTTTTGTTTTTTTGAATGTCCAGAGGACCAGATTTAACTTTTTTAGATTTTTCTACCTGGATTATTGAGCATGCATCAGGATACTCCTTACAGATGTTTAGCCTTTTGTCTTGCTTTTTTAATGGGGTTTAGTTTGTCCTCTTTATAAACCATTAAAGTTTGTTGAAGCCTTCAGTGTTCACATAAATGCTGCGTTATCTTACAGCAACGTCCCAGACAGACAGAGCAGATGAGTTCCCTCAGTATGTTTCTGATCAGCATTAAAAGCTCCCTGAAGGGATTTCTTCCAGCTTGTTCCTGTTAAATGAGCTCAGCAAACTAAAAACAAAACATTGAGATAAAGTTGGACCTTTGTAGGAGTATAATGTTGTTGCTACATCTAGTCTTTGAAGCTTTATACCACTTCATGATAAAGAATTTTCTTTCTGACTAGCAATACTTTTGGTACTTTTGTTGGTAAAACGGTCTCACTCTGGGACACCCCCCCCCCCCCC